GGAGTCCGCCGTCACTGGAGCAAGCAAGCCTCCCTGTTCGCTTCAGTGCATGGCTGCCGGCCACCATCTTGGCTGGCAGTTAATTTGCATATCTCCCTGATTAGCCAATGGGAAGGGTAGCGGCTGTATGGCTAATTACCATGTTTCTCTTTTATTAGATAGGATTATTATTATTACTATTCAGGGTGGGGCAAAAGTAGACTCACAAATAAACTTACTTTTACCCCACCCTGTATTAGTATTATTATCTGACTTTTCAGAGGAGAAAAATGGAGATTCAGAAAGGGAAAAATGGTCTATCATAGCCATACAATAGTAAGTGGCAGATCCAAGACTTGAGTATATGTATTACTGTCGTCCCCTCCCCCCGATCATTCTCTTTCTCTCATCCTGCCCTGCCGGGGCTCCCTGGATGATGAGTGAGTGCTGGAGCTGTCCCAGGAAGAGAGGTCTGGGCACTATCAGGCCTGGCCTCTCCCATTCACCTGGAGCAGCTTCACTTCTGTTTGTTTTACCAGCCGGCAGTTTTAAAAATTTTGTTTAATCATTTTCTGTCATAAAAGGAATTTGGAAAAACCCCAGTCTGGGACTGCCTCATTTTCTAAAAATGTTTTTCATCTTTTTCATTTCTTAGAAACCCAGAACTTGGTGACAGCGGCAGTCAGAAGGGCTGGTGGTTTCCGAACTGGTTTGAAAATGGGTAAGGCTATGAGACGCTGGTCTGTGTTTCCACCGACTGAACATGTTTAGAGTCCAGATAAACAGTGTCATGGCCATGGCCGTCTCAGTCACTCATGTTTCTGGCTTATTGAAATCATATAAGGAATCTATTTCATGGTTGGGAACGGAACAGTAAAGGTTTTTGTTTTTTAAGTTGGGGGTGAGTGGGGCTTGGGCTGAAGTTCAGGTTGTAGGAAAGATTATCATAAGATAAAATGTCCTTATGTGGACTATTTGATAAAATTCCCCCGCCCCTGAAATAATCTGAGGGCTGTTGTGTCTTTAAACTGCTAACTATGCTGTCTTGGATCATCATCACAAAGACGGGTACTGCGCCTTTTTATCCAAAATATATCCTTATGCATAACCATTTAGTATTATGAACCTTCTCCAGACAGTCACTGACTTCCTGACACCGTAGATGCCCTCCCTGCCTTATTCACCCTGCTTTCCCTTTGTACATAGGACCCACAATTCCCAAGAGGAAGAAGACATAGAGAGAGAAAAGGAAGACAACGAAGAGCTTCAGCTGTCCGACTGGTTTAATCCAGAGTAAGAGTGTCCCTTGTGTGCAGCAAATCCATGGGTCAGCGGGAGGTGGCAGGGGGCTGTGTAGGCAACAGTGCCACTGAGAACATCTCTCAGTGGGGAGACAGAATCTTAGACCTTTAACGACAGATTAGATGAGAAACAGAGTCTGGATGTTTTGACTCAATTGCTGGAACAATAACACGGTGACTGGCCAGTGGTAGCAGGTGAATCACAAAATACTCGGCTGTGGTCTCAGAGGCCACAGCATGTTGTGGAAAGCCACAGGATGGAGAGTCAGAGCAAGAAAATTCTCTCTGAGATTCAGTTAACTCATCTGTAAAATGGCAACGGTGATGCAAAATCTCAGATCCATTACTCAGATCCAGTTACTCTCCATTACTACGTTCAGATACTAGCTTCATGGGTCAATACCAGCTTTTTAAAAAAACTTGAAATTAAATAGAAAATCAGAGGGTATAACAATGGGGATTAGGTTTTAACTTATAAATTTGGGGGAGGGTGCACACACAAGCGGTGTGTCCCATCTATTAGCAGTGCCCAAGCTCAGCAGAAGATATATGGTAGAGATGGAGGATGAGAAGCAATCAGAATACAGGTGGCAGTGGGATCTGTAAGCCTGAATAATGCCACCCTCTGATGAGGGTGGCACACTTTTACGGTGACACTTGTGCTTTGCTGAGCAGGATTTGAGTGGCGGGGTCAGGGCTGAATTATTGGGAACAGAGAGGAGGGTCAGATGAGGGCCACCAGCTGTCATTCTCTTCAGTCTCCCCCATGCATGGCTCAGCTTCTCTCTAAAGGAATGGAGAGTAGGTATTTAAAGAATATTGGTTTGAAACGGCACCAAATTTAAGCCTTCTCAGGGCACCAGAGTGCGTTTCTCACATAAATGACTAGACCAACAATGGAATAAACAAATAAATATATTTATATAAATGCATTCTTTTCTGTATACTACCTAAAACATCACAGTATGTTGTGTACACATTTCTACATCAAGATCTCTCAGCTTCTTTGACACCAGATCCTCGTACTTTTCCTCCTGCTCCCCATTCTCCCTTCTGTCTCCTTGACAGGGGCTTCTCCTTTCCCGCCTTCACAGATTAGAGCTTCTGGAGGTTGAGTCCAGTATCCTCATCTCTTCTTTACACACCATCTTCCATGTGCTCTCATCCATTTCCAGGGCATTAGAGACCATCCGTGTGAGACTGATTCCCATGTATATCATTAGCCCAAAGGTTTCCTCTGAGCGCTGACTGTGTCTAACTGCCTGCTTGATGTCTCTGCATGTCTCACGTGATCCCACCCCACACTTGTTCTCCTCATTTCCCATCTCAAGCCAGGATCTGGGACAGCTCTCCGATTCAGCCTCCTCCTCCACCCATCCTACAGTCTAATTCATTAACGTGTTCTGTTAATTCTTTCTCCAAAATTCTTCCCACATCATCTTATCTGCATTTCACAGCCCTCACCCTTGTCCCTGTTGCCATAGGCTCTTTGCTGGGTCTCTCCAGCAGCTGCTGCCTAGAAGGAGTTCACTGAGTAATGTGTGCATTCCACATCTTTGTTGACCTGCATGCACAGTTACTGGACTTTTAACACTTCCTCCCCCCAACACTTGGATAGATACCACAATGTTCTCATAAATGAGTATATACAATGAAAAAGCTACCAATCTCACAAGTAGGTGTAGGTTTTGGTTCTGGAGCCCTTTTAATTTGTGGGACGCCTTTGGCCTATACTGGTGGACTTGGTGGGTACCCTGCTTGGAAGGTTTTGGGGAAGCTCTGAGTCTTTCCCAGCAGCACTTCCCCTCCTTTTAGAGTCCCATCTTTGTGACCTTGAACCTCTTTGGCAGTTGAGAGTGGCAAAGGCTAGCTCTGCTCTTGCACATGTGTGGCCTGACCTGTCACTTCTTGTTTGCAGGAGGGAGGTTTTGGGTTTTGATGACTAAGACACCTTGATACAGAGGTTCATTCAGGAAACTGATCTCATCCTGTCCCCCATCCCCTCCCCGCCACTGCCTGTAAGTCATCTGGCTCCTTTTCTTAGTCAGGGGTGCTGACATATTGGACTTGCCAGTGGAATTTAATAGTTAACAGATGGGAAATAGGACATTTTAATTAAACATTAATTTTTAATAGTGCTACTTTTTTTTTCCTGCTCAAAGAATTTTCCCAACCAAGTAACGAAACTGAACACTGGTTTTCTGACTCAGTCTTTCTAGAAGTTGTGGCCTGAGTGGTCATGCAGTTGAGGAGTGTATAGCAGGCTGGCCACCTGTCAGAACTGAGATTCTCAAGAGGTAGTAGGGGGTGGGGTTCTCATTTCTCTGATCCCCGTGCTCAGCACTGGGCCTGGTAAAGGAGAAGGAACTTCCAAAATGTATATCGAGAGATTGAGTGCCCTGGTCTGGCCCCTCCTATAAATTAAATGGCTAAAGACCAAGTTCCTTTCTCCTATCCTACCCCTACTTTATTTGTAAAATGGAGATGATGATAGCATCTATTTTATAATCCATGGTAAGAATTAATTGAGGCACTGAAAGTCAAGTACTTAGCCCCTGTGTACCATAAGTATTCAGGACACCAGCTCCCTTCCTTTCCTTCTCCTCCTCTTTTCCTTTTTTAAGAAATTAATATTACCTGCCTATCAGATGTCCAGCTCCTACACAACTGCACAACTTAGGCTGGGTCAGAACTGTTAAAAGATCTTTGACAAGCTAAAACAGGACTGCAGTGAGGTGACAGTGCATGGGAGATTTTAAGTTCAGAAATGTTGGCTATGGAACTATAAGCTGTGTGTGTGTGTGTGTGTGTGTGTGTGTGAAATTCTGTCATTCAACAAAGCTGGGGGTTTTGTGTGACTAAAAGCATCACATAAGCTTCTAAAAACAAAAGGGGGAAAAGTGCATTTCTCATTCTGCAGTGATAAAACTACTGAAGTAGCTAAACTGAGTGTAAGTAATGGCAGACCCAGGTTTTAGCCCCAGCTTTATCAGCATAGCAGGTAAATGTCCACATAAGAAGTGATATAGGGTGGTGGCTCAGGGCGCAGACTCCAGAATTAGCCTATCTGGGTTCAAATCCCAGCTTTGCCCCTTACTAGCTATGTGACCTCAGGCAAGTTATTTAACCTTTCTGTGTACAGTTTCCTCATTGATGAAATGAGAATCAAAATAGCACCCACCTCTGAAAGGTGAAGCTCTTAGCAGTGTCTGGTCCCAAAGGAAGTGCTCAGTGTGTGTTAGTTACCATCATCGGTGGCCAACTAACTATGTGGCCTTGAACAAGTTAACAAACCTTTCTGAGCTTTGGTTTTCTTACCTGTACAACGGACATACTACATGGCAGGCCTGTTGCAAGGACCAGAAGAGAAAATATATGTGAAAGTGCCTGGCACAAGTTAGTGCAGAATCCAAAATAGGCCCATGGTCTGAGCTGGGTGCTCCAGCCTGAGCTATAGGGGCCTCTGCTGGGTCCGTTCTTTTTTTTTTGGGGGGGGGGGGGGAGGACTCTCTCTTTGTTTGTGAAATAAATAATAACACCAGAACCCCCTAGTCTGGGGCCCTCTTGGGCCTCTAACCAGGTTCCTACTCAGAAATCCTTTTCTGGTGAAAGGCACATTGAGATGGTTTTCTCTCTTTCAGCTCATTGCCCCTTTCTCATCGCCCTGTGTCAAGGATCAGGTCCTTCTTAGGCTCAGATGGTACCCACAGGGATAATAACACCCAGAGAGGCCACTTGTGGCTTAGGAAAGGGCTGAGGAGATACGAAAGGAAATTAGGAGGAAAAAGAGAACAAGGAAAGCAGGAAAAGGGAGAGGTTCTGAGATGAGCAGGGAAGATCCCCATAACAGCCACAGCCCCCAGGGGCACCTGGGTCCCCCATCCCACACCTGGAAGAGGCTGCCCCTGAAATGTTTTATGACCCAGCCAGGATTCAGGGACAGTGACACTAAATCCCAGCCGAGCCCACAGTCTCTGCCCCCCCTCAGCAAGCCGTCCCCACTCACAGGACTCTGTGTTTTGTCACCAGGAAACGGCCAAAGGTGGTGACAGTGACTAGTTGGAAGGCACCTGTGGTGTGGGAAGGCACTTACAACAGAGCCATCTTGGAAAATTACTATGGCAAACAGAAGATTACCGTGGGTTTGACGGTTTTTGCTATCGGAAGGTAGGTGTCACTATTAAACTTGACCTTGACTTCTTGTTCCAACTGTCAAAATGTTTGTGAGGGTCTCCCTGGGCCTACAGAGGCTGTTCATGACTTGTTTGAATGATCAGATGGGAGGATGTTATAATGGGACCATTTCCGTCTCATTTCTGCTGAGACCCCCAAAAGATGAGGACGAAAACCATAGTCCGTGAGTGGACTCCTTCCCACCTCAAAGTGAGGTCTCAGGATATAGGTAAAAATGTCTGCTACACACACTGAGCCCAGAGTATACAACTCACCCACAGCCACCTTCACCCCGATCTCCATGGCTTCCTCTGGACATTCCAAAAATGCCAGTGGTTAGTGCATTTTTCTTTCCATGCTTTCAAGACCCAGGACCAAGGACAGAAGCCCTTACAGCAGGTTCTCAGTGATCTAAGTGTGGTTGGTGGTTTTCCACGTAGGAGCTGGCTGACCACTCTTCCTTCGGTTCCTCCTGGAGGACTTAGGCCCACAGAGATTTGGCTGGCCAGAACTTCCTCTTCTAAAAGTTGGATAGGTTCCTCTTTCAGCTTCCATTTCCTTGTTTAGAATGTTTCTCCCCAAATTTCAATCATTCTTACTTGAAATTGGTAGCTCGTAATATTGGTTTTACTAGTAAAATATAATGCATTTCGCTCTTTTGGAGATTTCCCCCCCCAAAAAAACAAAAGCAAACGTTCAATTTCCCTATTTCCTTCCCATCCCCACCCCCCAACCCCATTTCCTGGCTTTCTCATCAGTACCTTTTCTGAAAGCCATGTGGAAAGTTGACCCCTTTGCCCAGTACAAAGAGTTGAAGGTCCAGGTTGACCTGAGCTTGAGCTCTGCCCACCAGAGCACCTAAAGGAGAGTTCTGTAGACCTGATAGTTCTCCTAAGTCCTCCAACCCAGAGGTCAGAAGCCATCGCTGGCACCATACCGATTAAGTCCTAATGCCATTGACTGTATTGATCTCAGGGACCTAGGTAGCATCTCTAACAGAAAAGGGTAACTAGTTTTGACATTTTTACTAGAAGAATCAGTATTGTTGAGTCGGAAGCCAATGCTCGCCCAGCTCACCTAAACCTTTGGCATTAGAGGGGACAAGCCAGCCATGCTGCAGGTTGATTTGATCCTGGTGTTTCTAAAGAGAACAGAACTGCCCCACATGACTTCAACCAACAGTTATGTCAACGAAAGAAACATCTAAACCTATAAAGAATTTTTATAGGATTTTATTTGACCCAAACTGATGACAATTGCCCAGAAGCAAGACCTCAAATGTTCTGGAGAATGACAGTTTTGCAGTTTCTTTTATGCATTTGAAATTAAGGAGGGAATATAAGAAATATTACATGAAGGTGGAAGAAAGCAAGGTGTATGGGATAGTTAAGATTATGTGCTCTCTTGAGGGTGGGACTCTTATTTCAAAGGTGTGTTAACCTGGATGCACAGAAACAATAGACAGGGCTTGCTTAAGTTAAAAATAAACCTTTTACTAAAGAAGTTATATGCTTGGGGCAAGACTACCCACCATGATCTATCCAGTTAGGAATTTGTGATCCAATACAGGTTTACATTCTGTATAGCCCCCTTTTTTGTCCACAGTTGCAACTCTCCAGAACTAAAGGGTAAATGGCATATCCGGTGAAAGCCCTGTGCTCTCCGCTCTGAGGCAGGAGAGGACTGTATTCATCAGCAATAAATCTTCACTAGAGTGGATTTGGACTTTTAGGAGGTGTGATGTTTGGTTTATTTTCAAATAACAACGCAGCCTCAGTGCTTCAATCTCTAAACAGTGTTAGACCACACAGTGGCTCACGTCCTCCCCCAGGATTGTCTCTCAGCTTCAGGGTACTATAATTTTTTCTTAAAGGTACAAAACACCAAAGAATTTCCTGGCCATCAGCCACAGAGCCATGTCAAAGTCCTTCTTTATACTGCTCAGATACATGTTCTCCATTTAAAGACTCAATACTGTAAACCCTTAGTTTTCTAGCGGCCACCATTATAAGTACACTTTAATTTGGTAGTAAAGAAAGGGATCCAAGCCCTAGCTGGTTTGGCTCGATGGATGGAGCATCGGCCTGCGGACTGAAGGGTCCCAGGTTCGATTCCAGTCAAGGGCACATGCATGGGTTGCGGGCTTGATCCCCAGTGGGGGGTGTGCAGGAGGCAGCCGATCAGTGATTCTCTCTCATCATTGATGTTTCTAGCTCTCTCTCCCTCTTCCTTCCTCTCTAAAATCAATAAAAATATATTTAAAAAAAAAAAAGAAAGGGATCCAAGCAGTAACCAAAGTGAAAAGTGCCAGTTATTATTATTCACAGGACATCATGATTGGCCAGTACTGTGATCAGCCCATTAAATTCAGTCCACATTCACTGAGCATAAGTCTGGGGTTTGCATGAGTTAGGTCAAGCCATCTTTCTACTCCTTCCTCTTCTCTCTGATCCCCATGGCTTTACAAGAGAGTATGTAGCTGGGTTACAGAAGACAACAACATGATATTTTTTGAATGAACAGACAAATATCTAAAATAACACTACACACCTACTAGAATGGCCAAAATCCAAAACAATGGGAACACCAAATGCTGGGAAGTAACAGGAACTCATTGCTTGTGGTACTACTACTTTGGAAGACAGTTTGGCAGATTCTTCACAAAACTAAGCATACTTTTACGATGCAATCCAGCAATTGTGTTCCTTGGTATTTACCCAAAGGAGTTGAAAACATGTCCACATAAAAACCTGCAGACAAATGTTTATAGAAGCTTTATTCATAATTACCAAAAGTGGGAAGCAGCCAAGATATCCTTCAGTAGGTGAATGGATAAATAAACTGTGGTACATCCAGATGGGAATATTATCTGTATTAGTGACACAGAGGAAACTTAAGTGCATATACTAAGTGAAAGGAACCAATCTGAAAAGGCTACATATTGTATGATTCCATACTGTACAACATTCTGGAAAAGATAAAACTATGGTGATAGTAAAAAGGTCAGTAGTTGCCAGGAGTTGGGTTGGGGGAATGAATGAACAGGTAGAACACAGGATTTTGGGGACAATGAAAATATTCTGTATAATACATAATGATAGATACATGTCCTTATAGATTTGTCCAGACCCATGGAATGTACACCAAGAGTGAACCTTAATGTAAACTATGGACTTGGGGTGATAATGATGTGTCAATGTATGTACACTGACTGCAACACATGCCCCATCCTGGTGCTGAATGGTGTAAGTGGAGAAGAATGTGGGAGAGAGGAGGGACAAGGGGAGTATAAGGAAACCCTGTGCTTTTGTTTAAAAATTTTTGAAAACATATTTTTAATTGATTTCAGAGAGGAAGGGAGAGAAAGAGAAACATCAATGATAAGAAATATTGATCTGCTGCCTCCTGTATGCCCCCTACTGGGGATTGAGCCCACAACATGGGCAAGTGCCCTGACCAGGAACTGAATCATAGGTCTATGCTCAACCACTGAGCCACACTGGCTGGGCAGGAACTCTGTGCTTTTGGTTCAATTTTTCTGTGAACCTAAAAATGTTGTAAAAAATAAAGACTTTTAAAAAGAGAAAAAATAGTTTAAATAAGGCTAACTCAGAGGTTGTTTGCTTTGATATTTGGATGGAACTTATTATGGTGGTGTCTGGACAATGGGTTGGAGTTTTGGGTGATCAGTGGGAGGCTCACAGAGTGAATATGTAATATGAAAGGATATCCATGTCCCTTTACCCATTCTCTGGGTTCCAGAATGGCAATGGTTCAGCTTAATGCATCCCCATAGAACCCAAGGGTCACATCATGGTGCATCTGATAGAGTAGTAGCAACATTGGGATATATAGGTTGGAGTTTTTGAGGGAGGCTAAAGGATTAGCGCCCCCTGATGTTAGTCAAAGGGTGTAAACTTCTAGTTATAATATGAGTAAGTTCTGGGGACCTAATGTATAGCCTGGTGATTACAGTTAACAGTACTATACTATGTATACTTAAAAGTTGCTTAAAAAGTAGATCTTAAATATGCTTACCACAAAAGAGAAATGGTAATTATGTGACGTGATGGAGGTATTAGCTAACTAAGGTGGTAATTATTTTGCAATATATAAGTATATTAAATCAACACTTTGTACACCTTAAACTTATACAGTGCTACATGTCAATTATATGCCAATAAAGCTTGGAAGAAAAAAAGAACCCACATCCCTTTTGCCTACCCAAAGTCTAAACCAAAACAAAGGGCTAAGTAAGGCAGATGGTAGTAAATATCATCTTCATTACAGTTGAAGCTGGTATTGGAGAATGTGGCTTATATCTGTAGGCTCTAGGCCTCCTAACATTGAACCACAGAAGTAGAAAGACTCAGGCAAAGCAGCTATTGCACTAGAAACTCCAGGCCTCTGTACATCAGAGCGGTGCCTGTACCACTAAATATCCTATAAGGCCCAAAGCATACATACTATCTCCAATACATACAGTTTCCAAGAGCGAGAGGAGAGAAAAGGAGGGGTGGGGCTGTTCATGGCCAGTCGCCTTTCCAAAATTGGCAGTCAGATAAGTCCCTCCACTTCCCCAAGGCAGAGTGACTGAACAGTGGAGAGCAGTCAGGAATGTTACAATAACAGATGTCTCTCCACATGAAAACATACATCTGCGATGAGGAAAAATAGTTGTCTCTTGAACTTCAAAATACAAACAAAATGATTAGAAAGTACATGGTCTCCTACAGAGTCCCAGAGGTTACATTTATCCCGTTCTTCTTTGTTTCAGATACATTGAGCATTACTTGGAAGAGTTCTTAACATCTGCTAATAAGTACTTCATGGTTGGCCACAAAGTCATATTTTACATCATGATGGATGATGTCTCCAGGTTGCCTTTGATAGAGCTGGGTCCTTTGCGTTCCTTCAAAGTGTTTGAGGTCAAGCCTGAGAAGAGGTGGCAGGACATCAGCATGATGCGCATGAAGACCATTGGGGAGCACATTGTGAACCACATCCAGTACGAGGTCGACTTCCTCTTCTGCATGGACGTGGACCAGGTCTTCCAAGACACCTTTGGGGTGGAGACCCTCGGCCAGTCAGTGGCTCAGCTACAAGCCTGGTGGTACAAGGCAGATCCTCTTGAGTTTACTTATGAGAGGCGGAAGGAGTCTGCAGCCTTCATTCCGTATGGCGAGGGGGATTTTTATTATCATGCGGCCATTTTTGGAGGAACACCCATTCAGGTCCTAAACATCACCCAGGAGTGTTTCAAAGGAATCCTCCAGGACAAGAAAAATGACATAGAGGCCGAGTGGCATGATGAAAGCCACCTAAACAAGTATTTCCTTCTCAACAAGCCCACTAAAATCTTATCTCCAGAATATTGCTGGGATTATCAGATAGGCCTGCCTGCAGATATTAAGACTGTCAAGGTATCTTGGCAGACAAAAGAATATAATTTGGTTAGAACTAATATCTGACTTTAAATTGTGCCAGTAGGTTTCTGAATTTGAGAGAGTATTCTGGCTACTTCTTCAGAAAAGTAACACTTAATTTTAACTTTAAAAAATACTAATAAAACACCAACCCAGCAAGTACTACTCGTAACTTTCAGCCTTGTAATATGGGAGCATGGACCTCTGGTAATCAGATGTGAATTCCCAATGATTTCCTATCTATTCTGGGTTTGGGGAAAATATATCAGATGAACTTAAAAAAAATTTTCACAGGCCATAAAAAAGCCAGAAACACTCTACATATGTCAGAATGTACTGGAGAACTGGAGAAAAGGGTGCTGAGTCTAAAGCAACATAGGTTGCTTTACAGCAGAACTTGCAGCGAGGACACAGTCTACCTGGCAATCCTCAAATGGTTTCAGTAGCAGACCACTTCAGGCCATTTTGTTGTATGTGTGTCTTTTTCTCAGGATGTTGTTTGGCTTCTGTGCAAAAGACTTGTCGAGATTCCCATTGGTTATGATGGTGGTAAATGTTTGGAGTCACAGGGAATCTGAAGGAAGTGGAAACAAAGCCTCAAAGTGAGTTTGCCATGAAATAGGAGAGAGTGGAAAGATCATGGTTGGGCAATGGCACCTGAGAGGTCACAGGAGATGGATTGGCACTTAAATATAGCATGGATCCAGGTGCTAAATGGGACAGGGATAATGTGGATGGTCTCCAGCCTCCTTAATCCCAAGACAACCAGAGCAGAGGGGACTTGAATGGAAGATACTTCTTTGTTTTGCCCAAGTCACATTCAGTCTGCCAGATTCTGCAACTGTGTCTTCAGATCCTTGGACAGAAGAAGTGGATGGTGTCAGAGAAGACAGAGGCCTAAAATGGACAGAAGAAGCTTGCAAGGAATTTTACAGACAGGGGCTTCATGACAATCAGCAGCAGCAAGTCCAACTGCCACTTGCTCCAACCCTCAGAGTTCCTCAGCCTATTGTACCCCGTTTGGAGGGCTGACATCAGGAATGGATTGGAGGAAAAACCCTCCCTCCAAATAACCTAATTTTCCCCTGCCCCATCTGCACTACTGAGGTAACAACCAGACACATTTAATAAAATGGTTAATTGATTTGATATCAAAAGCAGACAGGATGGCAATGGGAAACCCAGTCCTCATAACTGAACAGCTTAACATTCAATTCCCTTCTCTAAGAGAAGTTATAAAATCCTACCTATTATTTAAAGTTAAGCAATTCAATATAAAGGAAGTTAGAAGGCAACATTTACATATTTATATTTTGCTTGTGTTCCAGTTAAAGTCATGTTTCCTTTTTTAAGTGATTTATTTGAAGAATCATTGCGCTGGCTTGACGTTCAGCACACTGGGCTTCTTTGATAAATTGAAACCTACATTTTCCTACCATTGCACTGTGCCTCCTACTCTTCACTTCTTGCCAAAAAAATAATCACAATGCAGTGAAACAAAACAAAACCAACAAAAATCCTGAAGAAGTGGACTTTAAAGGAGATTACACATTCATCAGGACTCTTGCTTTTCTCTAACTCAAGTTTTCTGAAATACATCCTAGAGTAGGGAAAGTTACTGGTTTAAGTCTGGAACCAACGAAATTATCTATCCTGAAAGATTAAATGGCTGATGTTTATGTTTGAGGGAATCTTGATTTTTTTTTTATTCATTTAAATTTTAATCCCAAACAAACTCAAGATTGTCATGAATAGTTATTCTTAAACATAAAAAAATAAAAATAAAACTCCTCTGATTTACAATTGAATAAATTATTTTCTCAGTATATTGTTGTCATGGATTGTGCATTTTCTCCCAAAGATATTCAGAATTGTCAATTCTAGCGTTTTAAATTCTTAGATTTCCAAAAGTCCTCATGTTCTTCTAAAAATGTGGACTTTTACAAAGATAGAACATAGGTGAGACTTGCAAATTTTTAAAACAGATGCTCATGCCCTAGCTGATGTGGCTAAGTGGTTAGAGCTTTGGCCCACACACCAAAGGGTCAAGGGTTCTATTCCTGGTCAACCCAGTAGACCATATCTGGATTGCAGGTTCGATCCCCAGTTGGGGTGCAGGTGGGAGGCAGCCAATTGATGTCTCTCTCTTACATACATGTTTCTCCTCTTCCCTCCCTTCCACTCTCTAAAAATCAATGGAAAGAATATCCTTGGACACCAAGGAAGCATCATCAGAAGCTCTCAATTCCTTTATTAGGCATTAAAGAACTTAGTCGATCAAAAACTCTTCAGAAGTAGAATGTAGGTCTAGACCAGTGGTCGGCAAACTACGGCTCGCGAGCCACATGCACCTCTTTGGCCCCTTGAGTGTGGCTCTTCCACAAAATACCACGTGCGGGTGCGCATGTACAGTGCGATTGAAACTTCGTGGCCCATGCACAGAAGTCGGTATTTTGTGGAAGAGCCACACTCAAGGGGCCAAAGAGCCGCATGTGGCTCGTGAGCCACGGATTGCTGACCACTGGTACACTCATCATATAGCCAAGTTTGAGAAGCAGTCAACAAAAGCTGAGCAAACAAAGGCACAGGGAAGTTAAGGGCTAAAGGAGTGTAGGAGGGAAGGGTGTCTGATGAAGTGCAAATAGACTTGGAGGAAATGACTTTAAATTGAGTTTTGAAAGAGAGGGGATCACTGTGAGGAGTAGAGATGGAATGAGACTTCAGAGGGAGGAGCAGCAGATGTAAAGCACAGAAGACTGTGATAAAACTTTTACAGAGACCCACACAAATGGTGCGAAAAGTAGCAAAGATCATGAGAATGCTTTGGCTGGATGAGGGCTCCACATTCGCTCAACATGTATGGCTCTCTTTCTCCTTCTCCCAGCAATGCTCGGTCTCTTATACGGAGTCTGTGTGATTTCAATGGAAACTGGTGCCATAGTTGGAGCAAGAGATCCAGACTAAGCCAATCAGCACCTTTCATTGCTTAGGTGGCAATGATTGATTTGGGGGTGGCAGGTGACCTAAACTAGCCCAATCAATGTGAATCTCAGGTCCTCAGGAAATGAGGAAGCATGTAACATTGGGAGCTGCTAACCTCTGGTGACCACAAGGGAGGTCAGCATTAGGATGAAACTGGCAATAGGAATGGAAGAGCAGAGAAAACTGAAGGGAACACAGTCCTTGATGACAACCCTAAGCCACTGGCTCCAGTGGGCTTTTTGAACATGTGAGCCAATAAAGTACCATTATCGTTTAAGTCAGTTGGAATTGAGTTTTCTCTTATAACTGAAAATATCCCCCACTGAACCTTCTAGAATAATTAGTTCCTTATAGGCAGGCCCATAGTCTGTCTTTGCATCAGCTCTAGAACCTGTTACATCACCTATCTCAGAGGCACTGCTTAACGAATATCTACAAGATGAATGAATGAATCATTATATATACTCCCATCACGCCTCAAAGAAGTGCTTTTAACTAAATTTAAAATTTTTTCATTATGAACTCAGATACTTTTATATCTGGCACCTGGAAATTTTCCTCCTGTAGTACACAGTACAGGAACTCAGGAGGGGCAGCTTGAGCTTTAGGCTCTAACCTGCATAACGTACTGGGTTCGGTGCTACTTAAGGTCAGTGGTGCATGAGACAAATTTGCTCCATCAGTATAGAGCAGTGGTTCTCAATCAGGATGATTTTGCACCACCACCATCACCACCTCCACTCCCACCCTCGCCCTGACCCCGGGATACTTGGCAATGAGTGAAAATATTGTTGGTTGTCACAACTTGGGGGTGGGGATGGGGAGGGTACTACTCACATCTATTAGGTATAGGCCAGGGGTGCTGCTAAACATCCTAAAATGCACAGGAAAGCCACCACAACAAAGTAGTGTCTGGCTCAAAATGTGATGAGGTTGAGGGACCCTGCTGTAAAATCCCTTTGAACTTCATTAAGAAAGAAATATAGGAGAGCCAATATGCATAATACCCACCTGTCTATACCCTGGAATTAGTCTTTGATGAGTGTCAAAAGCTTCCAACTCACTTTTTAGTCCCTATAACATTCACAGCTAAGACAAAAGAAGAGAGCAGTTCCCTATACTGGACACTGGAGGGCAGGAATTTCCAAAGATAACACTTATTCTAAACAACTGCAGTGATTAAAAACATGTTTTCTGGACCTGGTGAAGACTGCCCGTTTGTAGAAATAGCTATGGATTTTACATATAAATGAAAATAGCTATAAATATTTAAAGTATGGGGCTTTGAAAAATCAGCCAAAGTTAGAACACACTTTCAATGAATTGACTGTAATTGTTCAGAATAAAAGCTGGTTATGCTAGCTAGGTGTTTTAGTTAAAGACATTTTGGTTGCAAGGAACTGATATCCCCTAAACCCAGAAATGAATATTGAGAGGCTACTGGAGAGTTCCACTGAATGCAAGGCAGAATTGACAACCAGGCAGTGGTGCACTGAAGCTGGTTCTTTCCTGCTGGGAGCCTGTTGCACGTAATACTTCCCAACTCTCTGTTTAGTGCCTTCACTGTGGTAGCTTGGTATTAGCCATGGTGGGAGTATTTACACCATGGGAATAAGCAAACACTAAAAATCAGGTCTCTTTTTCCTTTTCTTTTCATCTTTCTTTTTTTAGGAGTTGGTTGTGTAGAATTTTAGTTGTTCACATCACTATAACCAGCTCATGAAGAAGTGCCAGTGAAGTTCAAGGGCTTCAACAGCAGAAAAGAATGAACTTCCCCTAGAGCAGTGGCCGGCAAACTGCGGCTCGCAAGCCACATGTGGCTCTTTGACCCCTTGAGTGTGGCTCTTCCACAAAATACCACGTGCGGGCGTGCATGTACAGTGCAATTGAAACTTCGTGGCCCATGCGCAGAAGTCGGTATTTTGTGGAAGAGCCACACTCAAGGGGCCAAAGAGCCGCATGTGGCTCGCGAGCCGCAGTTTGCCGACCACTGCCCTAGAGGTCTGCCAATATGACCCAGCTCCAACTATTTCCAGACTCAGAGTTTCTTCCTTCAAAACTCTATATTCCTGGAAAAGAAAACCCAAATGGCACAGCAGCCACTCCTGCTCCCAGCAGCTGTGCCATGGGGTAGAGGTTTATTGGAGGGTGGATTATAATATAGAGCAGTTTCTCAGGCAAGGACCTATAGTTATGAGCTGAGTTAGATGCCTCTAAAACTTTCAACATTTCCACTTAGAGCTGCTTGGCTATCAATCATTTCTTCCCACACAGGTAAAATATGTCCTGCTACCATAATCCAAAAACATTATGCACTATTCTAGCACAGCCCCCTCTCTGAATAGCAGACCATGGAATTCATGGATAATGCCAGAGGGCCAGGCTTCTCAGAGTCTACTATCTCCACATAATAACTGTTTCTCCTTTGGTTATTTAGCCCATCTAACTATTCTGCAATCCATAAAATAAATAATAAATCCAGCATACACCCAAACACTATGAAGTCAAGACAAGGAAGGAAGAGGGGAAATTTTTTAGTAACTCTAGAAGAAAATGGTTATCTGCTCAAGGGGCATTTCCTTGCTCTAGAATTCAGTGGGCTCCTGCTGTAAGTTCTCAATCAAGGCCAGCCACAGTCTACATCCATCATCACAGTCTACTTCAGACCCTTTGAACTATGTAAGATATAATTGGTCATAAGAGGTCCAGTGGCAGGGCAACTTGCCTGCAACCTAGACCAGCGGTGGAGCTTTCTGTTGTCCAGGGTCCCACTGGATGTCATTGCTTTTACAGTTATCAATCAAATGGTAGGCAGCTGGATACCCTCATGTGTGGGACACTGCCTCCAAAATCTAAAGTAGCCCAAGAGAGTTATGCCTCTCTCTTATTTGTAGCAGGCATAAAGTATTGGTTCTCAAATTGGCTGCATTCTGGAATTACCAGGAGAGCTAATATTGATGCCTGGTTCTGACCCCAAAGAGTCTGACTCAATTGGTATGGGGTAGACACTGGAACTTTAAAAGCCTTCCCAGGTAGGCCTTGGCGTGGTAGCTCAGTTGGTTAGAGCATCATACTGATACACCAAGGTTTTGGGTTTGATTCCAGGTCAGGGCATATACAAGAATCAATGAATGCATGAATGGGTGGGGCAGCAGGTCGATCTCTCTCTCTCTCTAAAAATCAATAAGTTTAAGATAACCTTTTAAAAAATACATTTTTAATTGATTTCAGAGAGGAAGGGAGAGGGAGAGAGACAGAAACATCAATGATGAGAGAGAATCATTGATCGGCTACCTCCTGAGCATCCCACACTGGGGATCAAGACCACAACCCAGGCATGTGCCCTGACCGGGAATTGAACCGTGACCTCTTGGTGTATAGGTCGATGCTCAACCACTCAACCATGCTGGCCTGGCTAAAAATCAATACATTTAAAAAGTAAAAAGATCTTTTGGGGAGAAAAAACACACACCTTTCCAGGATAAGAGGATTCTGGGAATATGGTAGACTAGGAAGCACCAGGAAATCTGTCTCCTCAGCTAGACAATAATTGCACTGGCAAAAATCTGTTTGATGTAACTATTTTGGAACTCTGGAGTCTATAGAAACTTGAATGGCAAACTAAGGTTAATTTCAACTCTTCACACAGTAGCAGCGACTCATTCTCCACTTCCAGCCATCTGGTAGGCAGTTGTGCATGTGTTCCTGGAGCAGTTTGCATGCAGCTTATGCAAGCCAGGGTGGGCGTAAAGGGCCCTGTCCTTCACATATCAGGAACCTGTGCTCTGATTGCTAAATGTTGCTTCTGATCATGGAGGTACAGACAAACAGGCAGCAGCCATTG